TACTAGATCGCAACTCGACAGCCAAAATGGCCGACTTTGGTTGGCTTGTCTGAGCCACAGTCAGTCTCATAAAGTGAAGCAGGCCAGCGGGACCATCGGCTACGCCTGCCCGTAGTAGTCTATCACTACTGCGACTCTCAACATGGTTTGTAGGTACTATATCCAGCGTGGTGTCGTGACAGAGGCATCGGAGGTGTACTCCTTTGGTATGGTACTCCTAGAACTCCTCCTCAACGCCCCTCCGGCCTGTCCTGGTCCAAAGCCCGGGGAAATACTATACTTGGTTAATCATCTTAACGGTGACCTCATGAGGTGTTTGGCCATGGTCGATCCTCGGGCCGGCTACCCTCCTGCTGTATCTAAGCAGCTGGCTGAGCTGGCACTCAACTGTGCCTCTATGAATGAGCAGAACCGTCCTACGTTCGTTCAAGTGGTGAAGTCGTTGAGGACTATGTTGGTGACAGCGGAGGGGGGAACACCACAGCCGTCCCCCTCGGTGATGCTAGGTGGCAGCAGTACTGGACCCTTCACTGGCTTTTCTATCCAACCTGGGCTATTCTTACCCCCTAAGCAGCATCTATCGGGTAGTGGCCTCCTTGTGTCCAGTGTCCCTCCCCATGGTGTGTCCCTCAGTCCTCTCGCCGAGCACGCCAGTCCCCCAGCCCTTCCGGCCCCTCTCCAACGCTTCTTCAACCCAAGGGGATCAGCAGCAACAGCAGCAACAACAAGCCAGTCGGCTGTCCCCTCCCCCTCCACCACGGGGAGCGTCTCTGAGCACCGCTTTAGGACCTCCCATACATAATACTGGAAGCTCCGTCAGCACTGCTCACGATAACAAGGTCGTCGAGGTGCCAGGGAAAGCCCAGGAGAATGTGGCCACACTGATGACGCTCACCTGCATACTGTGGGATACTCCCGAGGTAATAGTAGCAGTCGTTGGTGGTGGAGGAGAAGGATGATCTGCTATGGTAGGGAGTTGACAACAGCGGGCCCCCCTCGTCATCGGCTTCGTCCGTCTCTACTCCTGCCCCCGCCCCAACAGTTTCTCCCAATAAGCCTGTGCTCATGCACTGGGATCATCAGTGTCACCTTACCACGGAGCTGCTGGCTGAGGGCTGTCCGAGACAGAGTCGCCTCGTAGCACAGTAATGCATCGTGATGACGGTGAGTTGTGGTATTGATTATCATCGGCAGGTATCCACCCTTACGGCTTGGCAGGAACCATCAGGTGGCCTTGTTCGACTCCTTGGTCCGGTCTCCGACCCTCCGGACCACGATTTCTCGAGAACACCTCGAATTCACTTTTGAGGGGATAGGAGATGCCATAGGCGTTTTCGTTACGAATCTCTCCGTGAATTCGGTATTCATAAATGAAACGCGACTGCTGACCAAGGGGGAGAGGTTCGGTCCGCTGAAAGATGGCGACACTATTAGCTTTGTCGCTGTGCACACTGCGATGCTGGAGGAAGGCCGCTCGGCGGTGTCGTCGTCGTTATCTGAGGAGCCCACGCCCTTCTTGGCCTTCCGGGTGGACCTCGCCCAGTCGTGGTTGGGACGGATGGGCCTTTTGGCGTCTTTCCCGGCTTCAGCTTCGGCCCCCCAGCAGCAGCAGGGCGTTGTTAGCACTCCTTTGGCGGCCTCTCAGTTGGAGCCGGTGTGTCGTAGTCGGGAGGATGCCAACCTGGGAGGTAAAGAGGAGCAACAACAGCCTTGTGTGTGCGTGCTGGAGATTCGAAGTGATGAAGGGGGAGGCGACTGCGGTGGTAGTGGTATGGAGATTGAGCATCGGTCTACGGATGTGCCTCTGTTGGTGGGGAGGAGTAGACAGCCTCAGCTGTTATGGCAGTTGTTGAAAGGGGAGTACAATGCTGTGTCGAGGGAACACTTTGAGATAAGGCCCATAAGGAGAGATCCTCAAGGGCCTACCGAGGGGGATGCCAGGCTTTATGCCTTCAAGTTGAAGTGCCTATCTTGTAACGGAATAACATTGATTGAGGGTGGAGGAGGAGGAGGAGGAGAGAAGCCAAAGAAGCACTTCTTGAGTGAGTCCACAACCTAGAAGGCTTGTTGGTGGCAGTGGTGGTGTCGGTCAGGTCAGAATGATGCTGAGGTTGAGGTCTATCATGGTGATGAGTTGGCGATAGCTGGACTTATAAGATTCCTTTTTATTGACTGCATTAACCCGCCTGCGAGCGCAGTAGGCCGTCTTGTGTGGGCCCCCTCGCTGCCATGCTGCTCTGTGTTCAGGTGCGGCCACTCTCTGCACGCCTTTTAACACCCACAATTACTCCAGAAGGGTCTCCAGCCACCACAGCCCAGGAAGGCGGCATGTCTTCTTCAACGTCGCGTGAGGGCGGGGGGCGAGGAAGACTGTCTGTGAGCGCCTTCAGCTGCCCTGAGGATGAGGATCTCGATGAGAAGTTCCAGCCGTTCAAGCCTGTTGCGCCTGCACGGCCATTGCGACCACCAGTAGC